GGAAACCACGTGGCTAACGAAATCGAATCGGAGTAAGAAAACATAGGGGAAAGAGCCGTTGAGCTATTGGCCAAAATCATATCTAGAAGACAAGAAGGCAGTTGAAGGGGGTAGCAGAAAATATAATTTTTCTGCATGGCTCCTCTGGGAGGTGGATTGCACTAAGAAAGAAGATGAGACAAAATATTTGAGTGCTTCTTGTTTTCGTTGTCTCGTGTGAAAGTCTCGAATGAATCACTTTGATTGCAACAACATAAAGTAGAATTGTCGGCCTTTTAATAATGTTTATTTTTGTATTTAATTGGATCGTCTTTATTTTATTTCCGGGCTTGAGTGATAACTTTCACTTAGCGTCCTAGGCAGAAATTGAAAGTCATACATTCTGTAATACTTCCTGTATTACTAGTCATCTCCGTGTAGCAGGTTCTTTGTAGAACGTCGCTCTCATCACGGTCTGCCAGAAAGAAACTCGGTCTCTCGCCAACTCTCCTGCTTCGTGAGTATGGTTTATCGACAAAATCTTCCACAGTTTTTGTCCTCTTTCTGTCTTTAACCTTTGTTATTTATTCTCCACCAAAGAAATAGAAAGGGCTGGGGGGGGGGGGGGGGCGTGTGACAGATTTGCCCTCCTATGAAGGTCACCAGGCAGTTCGGATGAGGCTCAGTCACGTCATTCGATGTCAGCTGCGGGTCCATAAGAGATTCGATGTAGGTCACCTTGCTGCTCGGGTGAGACAGACAAAGCAGAGGTGAACAGAGTATAAAGGCCATATTAGGGGTTACGTGGTAGAATAAAGAAAGAGAGAGGTACTGATTGGAGTAAACGTAAAGGTCTCTTTTCCATGCCTTTAGGCGTATATGGCATAAATGGCTAAAAGGCACAAGATGGGTCATGTGGTCAGCATCACGCCGGCTGCCTTCGCTTCCCGGGACTGCACCCGGTGACCACTGGTCTTGTCAAACTGCAGTTTAAATAGAGGTTTGTGTGTGTCTGTGTGTGTGTTTGTTGTGATATATGTGTGTTTTAAAGATTATGTTAAAAAGTTGTAATTAAAATATGTATCAGCAATTAAGTTCCGTTTCATTATCACCCACACATAATGAGGTTACAAAGACCGGCATAAATTAAACTGTTGTACGCCTGCAAACATGGTAGTAATATTAGCAGTAGTTATTTCGGAGATGGTGGTGTGGTTGTTGCGGTGGTGGTGGTATCCTTATTACTAGTACAGTATTAGTAATGGATGTGGGGTGTGGTTGTAGTGCTCATGGTGACGGTGGCGGTAGTAGTAACAGAAGTAGAATTAGTGGTACAGCAGAAAGGTGGTCGTGGTAGTATAGTGGTGGTAGTAGCTGCAGCAGAGAGAAGTAGTAGCAGCTACTGTGTTTATAGCGGTGGTGGTGGTGAGAGTGTTTTCTGATAGTAGCAGGAGGTGTGGTGGTGATAGTAGTAGTGGTAGTTGTAACAGCAGCAGCAACAGCAGCAGCAGTAATGATATTAGCCCCAGCCATTGTAGGACTACATTTCAAAAATACCACAATGACATACGCATTGAATGTCATGACTGCTCAGTTGGTTGGCTGTTCAATTGGCTGGTTTAGCAACTAGTTGAGTAGTTAGTCTGCATGTTAATTGATTGGTAGCTTAGTTTTTAAGATCTCTTGCCTGGGAATTCTCTAAAGAGGCAACTACAAAAAAGAAAAATGTAAGAAGCAACAAGTTGGTTTGTTTACGGCTTTCATTGACCCGATAAAAGCGCTGGATTCAATCAGAGTCTATGGAAGATCGTGGCAAATTACAGCTGCCTAAAAAAGTGTGTCATTAGTGTATGGCAACTGCCCCATAGACTGCTTGCTAAAATCTTAGATAATTGAGAACTATGTGAACCTTTCCGTGTCACAAACGCTGTGAAACAGGGATGTTTACTCTTACTTACTCTATTCAGTACTATGTTATCAGCGTGTGCTTTCTGATGCCGTTCGTGACGTATAACAGACCCTTTAACTACATGCACTATTCTGTACCGTCATTGTCCTAGATATTTCAGGCCTCGGGGTGGGCTCTTTTCAAGTCCCCTCCGGACTCACAGTCAGCTACAGTTTCATGAAGGATGAAAACCAAAAGAGTGGCTCTCATCACTTGTAATGGACGAATAACAGACAATTGAGAGTTAAAATTGTCCGTTCATTGGCGATCACGTCACTTGGACCCTAAAGGGCTCATGTCTATTGAACTGAAAGAACGAATGAAAGAACATCATTGTCAAGGGGTCAAGACTGGGCAAGCAGGCCAGTCTACAATGTTATCCTTCACTGAGATTATACAGAATGTTCTAATTATTACGTTAAAATAAAATTAAAACAAATCATTTCGTTGGGGACTGTTGTAGAACACTCCATCCTATTTCCAAGACCAGAATCCATGCATAATTTTTTAGCCTGCACTAGAACTTTGCTTCTGCCGGGAGCATCACTGCATGCAACCAGCTAATGATTTAGCGGTTCCGCCCTAAACTCTTAGACAAATGACGATCAGAGAGGCCAAAAGTGTTGAATTTGATCCATAATATTGAAACAGTTTCAAAGCAGAGAACGGGATAAAAGCTCCATTCGACGTATAACGGTACAATTGGATGATACCGATGATACCGATGATGATGATGATGATGATGATGATGATGATGATGATGATGACGATGACTCCAATCCAACACCAAACCGGAACTAAATAGGGTTGAGTATTATAATGACCTTGAACTTTGAACTCTGATCTGGTTCATCTACAACACTTAGAAAGCAAGACGCTCAAGGGTATTTATTATGTGTTAAATTATATAATTTAATAATAAAAATTTCTTCTTCTTCTTCTTCTTCTTCTTCTTCTTCTTCTTCTTCTTCTTCTTCTTCTTCTTTTTCTTCTTCTTCTTCTTCTTCTTCTTCTTCTTCTTCTTCTTCTTCTTCTTCTTCTTCTTCTTCTTCTTTTTCTTCTTCTTCTTCTTCTTCTTTTTCTGCGTTCGACATCAGTCATGCTAAACATTGAGTCCCGTCTGGGTCAAAAATAGGATTGTGCGTTTAAGGTCGCCACCGGTCTCCCATAGCTTCTCTTGCAATGTGGATTCCCTGGGCCAGATCCACAGTCTTTGCTGGGAGAGGTAAGGGCAGTTAATAACAAACAGTGATACGAGCCAAATAGATAACAGTTGCAACCAGTATAAAAGATGCAAGAGCTCATCATACACACACATTTTTTCAAAGTCTTTGCATTCATACACGCATTGTTATTTTAGAGAAGGAAAAGTGTATATGCGCATTGCATTTTTAAAATTAAAAAATAATGTATGTATGTAAGTTGTACCCCACCAGGACATCATGCAAGTGATAAACACCCGATGAAACAAAGTGCCACCATGCGGATGAGGATCACCTGTGGAGAGGTCTCGAAAACCCCGTTCAGCCTTTAGGCCATATTTCACAACCAGCTATATTTAGGGCCCCCGGCAAAAGCCAGTGTGGTCTTCAAAATAACACAAAATGGCATCCAACAACGGGATGAAGAGATGAGGTGAAATAATAATATTATTATCAGGGCACTTAAAGAAAAGCTGGCAATTTTACAGAAAAACAATACAATTTTATAATACAACTCCGTGCGAGATAGTAAAATTTTGAAATAAAAAGAATACGAAAGATTCAATTCTTCATCATGTAGCAGGTCCTTTGCAGAACGTCGCTCTCATCACAGTCTGCCTGAAATAAACTCGGTCTCTCACCAGTTCTCCCGCCTCAAAGAGTTACTCAGAGTCACTTATATCCTGTACCCATCTTCATGACGGTCGGCCCCTGCCCCTCCTTCCTGGTACCATGCCTTCTGCTATATTTTTTTCCAATCCGTTGTGGCGTTTGATATGACCAAAATATTTCAGCTTCCGAGACAGGATGCTGTTTATTAGCCAGTCTTCCTTAATGTATTATACAATTATCAATCTAAAATGGCTATTGTCGGTTAACGAATACCTGTAAATATTACAACAACAAAAGTGATAGCAAATAAACTAGGGCTTTTTTCTATAAAATAAAAGAGTGCCTGTATTCAACACAAAATGTCTGTTCTAGAAGCGCTGACAAAACGATGCTTACAATGTGCAGGTCCTGCATACCCTTGCGTGGGGAGCCTTGATGTGTAAAAAAAAAAAAAAACTACATCCAATTAATCATAATATCGTAACACAACAAAGCTTGCCGCATACACGATGGGGAAGTAGACAGCAGAAGTCGACATCTTTCGATTATTCAGGATTTTGCGATGCCCCATAATCCATCCCTCTTTCAGCCCCTCCCCCTCCCCGCCCCCACCCCAACATGAAGCGACGAACAGATCTGTTCCAGCTGGTGTGATAGTGCCATTCTTTTTCTTGTAAGACTGTGATGTTTCTGGAGCCCTACTATAGGGAAAACAAGAACAGACCCACTGCCTCCCCCCAAATAGCATGTCAAAGACGTCGACTAAATGGGCGCCTCCTTCGAAGTCAGAGTGCATATGCCGTAGAGGCAAGGAACCAACAGTCTGCACAAATATAGGTCAATTCTCTAAACGGGTGTGCACGCAAAACTTAGGTTCTGGGAAACGACTTTAGTCCAAAAGTGGAAGCAAAACTTGAACTTTCTGCGGGAGAATGAACAGAAGAAGATTTTGATAAACTGTATGTACCTTTCTTAATGTTGTGCAGCAGATTAAAAATGTTTTCTTTTTAAATTGCTTATGTGTGTCTGTGCGCGCGCGCGTGTATGTGTATGTGTGTAGGCGAGTGAGCCAAAGTCATCATCTTCTTCTACTTCTTTTGCTATGCAAGTTAAAGTACAATTCCGATTTCATGCTTTTTGCAAATGTCACACATACATCTTCAAAACTATTTACATCAAAGCAATCTACTAAGTATACAAATGAAAGACTATATTTAAAAATACCGAACCCAGTGGAACAAACGCATAAACGCAGTCTTTCATTGTATGTTCAGAAGTTGCCTAGGTGTTGGGTTATCGGTGTGTCCGATCGCCAGAGACAGATCGTCCCAGAACTTCTGTCGAATATTTTCATCTGCCTCTTCTTCAGGGGGATACTCGATGTAGCTGTTTCGTTTCATCACCGCCAGTTCGTCGTGTGACATCTGCTCGGATGGAATCGGTTTGTACAGCAGTAGATGCAACACACATCGATCCTTGTACAGTTCTTCCATAACGGCCATCTGGAAACTGTATTCGGAAAAGACGCCGTTGTAAAATGTTGGAGTGAGTACAGGAACAGTTCTGGTACTATTTCTTACAGCGCTGACAATGTTAGATATGGTGTATGTCCCGGCTAGGAAATCTCGATCTTCAACACAGAGACGATGTCCTCGCTTTATCTCTAGTTCTTTTATACAGGTGTTTGTAACGAAATCTTGCGTTTCTTTCGTGTACACGAGGTATGCGTCAAACGTGCAGCCGGATTTGGAGTGGATATCTGGGTTGAAGCCAAAGACAGCGGCAATAGCAATGTTGTGGAAGTACCTGAGCTTCCAGCGGTACCGATACATCAGGCCGAATCCAACAGATATCATCGCCACAGTTAGAGCTGCCACACAGCCAATGATAAGTGCTGTTTTAGATACACACAGTCGTTGCAGAATTTGCCGCCGTTTCTCCATATCAACAACCTGTTCACTAACCATACTGTCAGTGTCACATTTGAGCAGATTCTTGTCACTGAAGTGAACATTCGTTGTAGCCATCCATGCTATAAGGTCTAAACCAGCACAGGTACAAGGCAGCGGGTTCAGGGTCAGATCAAGTTCAATCGTATGTCCGGGCAAAGATGCGATTACATCCAGGTAATTTCTGGTTTCCTCACTGATCCAGTGGATATTATTTCTTGCTAAATCGATAAACTGTAAATTTTTCATATGTCTAAGACTGGTATTCAAGTACGCTATTTTGTTATCTGAAACTTTCAAGTACTTCAAATTTGATAACCCTTTGAAAAAATTTCTTGGTAGTTTGTAAATCAAATTTGTAGAAATATCCAAATATACAGTGTTGTTCAAGTTCGCAAATATATCTCCAAGGTCATCTTTAGCAAAGTCCGGTCCAAGAAAGTTATTGTTTAAAATTAGACGGCTGTGTGAATTATTTGCTTGAAAGAACCGTTTAGTTATTGTCTTACAATAGTTATTTGCCAAGTTGGCCTGTGTTATTCCTGATGGTAACATCCCCAATCCCCAGGTTGTCATGAAACTGTCGGAGAAGTCGACTACGGAAAGTGAATTGTTCTTGCTCAGTCTGTTTGCTAGTATTTGCATCCCAAACACGTTATACCTGGATGCTTTCAATATTCTCAACTTCGGTGGAATACGTAATTCAGAGCCAATAATCTTAGGTTTTCTCTTGATTTCTGGATTGTTCTTTATGTCATCACCCCTTGATATGCTCATCGGCTGTCCATTCCAAACATCCCCACCACATTTGTTTAGTTTCGTTTCTGTATCAACTGTCTCTGTCAAGTGCATACTGGGGCATGATGGTTGCAAATCATCTTCAGAATCGACTGCGTCCATTTTGAAATGAAAGGTCATCCCTTTCAGCACCACATTTGTTTCCCGTTGTAAATTTGTTTTGTTTTAAAATTAACGTTTCGGTAAATTATCCAAGTATTCCAGAAGTCAAATTCTGTTCCAAGTATCAATGAGTTGTTGAACGCTGTCAGATCTTTGAAGGCATCATCAATGTCGTAATTTTTCATGAATTGTAACTTCAAAAATGCCAGGTTGGTCAACCTGGCGTAGGCGTTTGGATGGACACTGACAAATTGTAGACATAATTCTAAAACAAAAGACCGCAGGTAAGGAACATTATCAAAGAATGTCTCAGTTAAATTCTCTATTTTACAATTGTGGAGTCCACCGCCAATTTGTAAGTGAATCAAATGTTTAAGAGATTTCATCCCAGGTCCAAACTCTGCTGGATTCTGCAATCCATCAATTCCTAATTCTTGTAAATTGACCAGCTGCTCCAAAGCTTGATCTGGGTAGCTTTTTTCCCATCCCTGAAACATCCGTGTAAGGAAAGCTTTCGAAGATGCTTTAAATTCTTAAAAAGCAAATGAGAAAGACTTTTGTTGGAATATCCAAACTGTGGATTTGTACTTAAATCTAACACCTTTAATTTTGGAAGATTATCGAAAGTCCCGACTTCTATTTTCTGAATCCGGTTGTTTGAGACGTCCAAGCTTTCTAGCTTGTCCAGGCCCTCAAACATCGACCTTGTCAGATATGGCAACTGATTTTTCCTTAACGTAAGATTAGTCAGAAATGGCATAATAGACAAACTGGCATTCTCAATATTGCTTATCTCACAGTCAACCATATTCAGATACAAAACCGGTAAGGTTTTGTTTGTTTCATATCCTCTGGAAATATTTGTTAGTACAGGATTTGATTGTACGGAGACATTAACCAGAGATGGGTAAGTCAAAAAACTGGAAATGTTCAATGTCCTAATTTTCGTAGACGTCAAATGTAAGACAACTGTATTCTTTGGAAGGTGAGATGGGAAGTTGTATATTTTCTTTCCTGTACAGTTGGCGATAACAGAACGACCTGCCGTGTGAGAGCAGCTACACGGTGGACAAGGAAACACATCTCCGTGCGACTTGAAATAACTTTCTCCAGTCTCCAAGTTGTTAAAGTTTGTGTTGTAAGCCATCCTGTTTCTGTCAAACATGCCATAGTCGTCTTCTATCATCTGTAAATTTTCATCGTTATAGTGTAAGCCGTCACCTGCCTTTGGATATTCTGGATTTGACGAAAGGGCATGAAAAGCCGTATCTTCAAATTGTGAGTCATCCACATGTTCGCCATCCTCACCATCGTCGTACTTCAAATCCCTTCCCTGTGTCATCGCAAGCCCTTTGTCATTCTCCAGATTTGTTCTACTCCCAAGTTTGGATCCGTCACCAACAAATTTCAAAGGCTCTCTAATATTAAACATTAATGGTGAAAATGTCCGGGAAATATTTGCACGATGATTATCTTTTCTTTGCAGGTCGCCTTCCTCGTGCAGAAAGCCCGACCCGGAAACAATGAAAATCCAGTGAGTTGTCGACACCATCAACAAGAGATAGCATAGCGTTTCGGACATCTTGGCGGCACTGAAAATCAGAAACAAATAACATCACACGTCAAATACCCAATGGTCTCAAAAACTAAAAAAAAAAAAAGTGACAAGTCTCGAGTATTAATTGCGCCCCATAGCATGAGCACCGATTCTCTCATCACAGTTACATTGCCTAGCTCTGAGTCAAAGGCGCCGTAATCTAGGGGGCTAGGACACTATGGGCACGCCCACAATATTTTTATTACCGAGTACTGACATAATCTCACCCCCAGTAATTCTTAGGGGTATTGAGCTTCTACCCCAATAAAAGTTGCAAGAGGCGGGGGGTGGGGGGGGGGCCTAAGTTATCCCAGTTACTATGTATAGTTCTGTTTCAGTATTAAACCTTTTCTAAACACTCTTCTTATATGCGAGAATGCATGGATAACTTATTGTTTAATCATGATCAATCAGCATATCCTTTACAGAACGTCGTTCTCCTCACGGCAGGCCTGAAAGTCTCTCTTTATCTAGCCAGTTCCCCAGTCCTGTTTTCATAGCTACTGCATCTTCGATTTATTGTATCCACTTTCGCAGAGGTCGGCCTCTGCCTTATTTTCAGGAAACTGCTTCTCCGCCATTGTTCTCGCCAGGCCACCATGACGTATTAAGTAAGTAAAAGTGAAGGTAAGTAAAGGACCCTTTCCCACGCCTTAAAGCGTATAGGGCATATAGGGCTAGACCTATATTTTTATAGACCAGTCGGCGCAAGATGGGTGATGTGGTCAGTATCACGCCGGCCGCCTTCACTTTTTCGGGACTGCACCCGGTACCCACTCAAGGCTGGGTCGACCTGGAAACCAAGGTCATTTTTGAAATAAGTCCGGCTCTGCCAGGGAGCGAACCCACGACTTTCCGATCGGCGGCGAGCGTCTAGCCGCTCGGCCACGGCGACTCCCCACCATGACGTATTACGTGGCCAAAATACCCCAGCTTTCAGAAGAGGATGCTGTTTATGAGCCAATTCTTTTATATGCTCAAATGGTGTTGGATGTAGATGCTTTAATGTCTTAGTCCATGATGTTATAAGATTTAAGTTTTCTGTAACATGTCATTTTAAAATCCCCGAGTTTTTTTTCTTCTTCAAATATTAAGAGTCCCTGACTCACAACCATGAGTTGCCACCTTAAAGATGCATGATTCCTTCTGCACTCTTCAACATTCGTCTTCCCCGTGTGGGATGCAATTTTTAGTTATTTTGAAGCCCCGCCCTGGCTTTTGCCAGGAGCCCTAAATATAGCAGGGCCTTAAATATGGCCTAAAGGCTGAATGGGGTTTCTGGGACCTCTCCACGGGTGATCCTCATCCTCATGGTGGTCTTTTGTGTCACGGGTGTTTATCCCTTGTGTGATGTCCTAGTGGGGTACAACTTACCAACCTACCTAGGCCTGATTCTAAAATAACTCCATCATTTTCAAGGGTAAAACAAGGCCATCCTTGTGAACTTGCATTGAGTTGTCTTTGGCCAGGATAATGCAAGGTACAGCCGAATGGCATTCAAATATATCACATTGTAAGTGACATTTACTTTCTTATATACAGTTGTTGCTGTCAGTGTGTTTTTAATCTGTTTTGGCTCTAACCGTAGTAGTATACGTTTTTGTTGTTGTTGAAGCAGCAGCAATAGTTGCTGTTGATGCAGCAGCAGTAGTAGTTATTGTGGGATGGTGGTAGTGGTTGTAGCAGTAATAGCAATAGTACCAGCAATAATGGCAGGAGCAGCTGTATGAGGAGGTCGATGGGGGATGTTGTTATTATTGTGCGTTGAAAAATAAAAATAAAACCATAAACCATATATTTGAAATACAGGTAATATGAAATCCTGTCTGGAGTGAACGTTGATGGAGGGGACAGTTTCCGTAAAACAAGGCAGACGCCGACCTCCGCAAATGTAGATACAAGACAATGAAGATTTATTGGCTATGAAAGCACACAGGACTGGAGAATTAGCTAGAGAAAGAAGGACTTTCAGGCCAAAAAGAGAACGAAGTTCTGCAAAGGACATGCTAATTGACTGATTTATTGAGACCTGATTGATTGATGGAATATGAAATACATAAAAACTTACCCCCCCCCCCCCCCCCCTCCCTCCCTCCCCCGGCCAATCTTTTAGGGAACTGGGGAGCTTCAGCCCAATCATACACATTAGGGTGGTTGGCGCCTAGCTCCCATTATAGGGAAGAAGGGGCTGCTGACGACCCATGAACCCACAGGAGAGCATACACAGCAGGAGTCTACCGGTCATCAGTAGAAGATCCTCGGTCGACAATTGTTACGGCCCGTTAACATCCTAAACAACCTCGGAAGGTGAGCCAACCTGGGTGATGACGCCAGGCCCCAGTATCTCCTGCAGTACGGACACGTACGGACGAGACGAAGGTGATTATTCAACGGATAATGGTAGATTTGGTTCTATGGGTGTTGCGCAGGTTAGGATTGCTATTTTTGCCAGAGGATCGAACCGGAATCTCCCGCATAAGAGCTGTGCTGAGTTGAGTTTCAAGAACGGACATCACAGCACCAGGGGCATTCCCATATGTGCTCCGTCCTCTTCTTCGGCAGCTAACGAAGAGTCCCACCTCTGCTGGTACCAGTTAGCTAGGTGCGTATCCTTTACATGACACTGTAGAGCTACCCCCAGTATTTGTGTGTGTGAGTGTTGTGGTTTTTCTAGATACATTTTACGCTCAGTAGTCTGCCATTGTCGGCTCTGTGGCTAAGTCGATGCGAACGCTTCGTAATGCCGGTAGGTCAGGTTAGATCCCAGCTGCGGGCCATGCGCCTTGCGTTGGTTTCGACAGTGGTATCAAGAAAGCCGACCGTCCAGTAGGCAATGGCAAAACTACTGGACGTAAATTTGCCTAGAAAAACCACACAACTAGAGACTGTTGGGGTTGGTTCTGCAACGTCCTGTAAAGGATACGCAACTAACATAGTCTGCCATTGCTCACTGAACGGTCAGCTCGTGGTACCACTGTTGAATCCAGTGCAAGACAAATCTTTCACAGATAGGATCGAACCCGGTACCCCGGTATTGCGAAGCGCGATCGCAACGCCCAAGCCACAGACGACGACGCGGGTACCAGTAGCAGTCTGATCTTATGTCCGTCTTGCCTTTCCTCTGAGTGAAGAGTGTCGGCTAGATCCCCTGGGCATTCCCCCTTGCACCATTTTCAGACTGATAAGTTGGAGGATAACATCAGAGTATATAACCAGGTTCATAGAAGATACTGGAGATCCATTGCTGCCAACCTTCATTGCGGAGATGGTACATGATTGAATGATTGAAATAGTTTGAAACGGCAATACACATTAAAAGAATGATCTGACAGGTGTGCATTAATTTTGCTTGCTGTGTCAAAGAATTTTAAAGTTCCCTCTAGTAACACTTGTTAGACTGAGTCACTGCCAAGGTCCACTTTCTGCGAGTGAAATTCATCTTTACCTAGGATATGTAGGTAGTGTTGGCAATGAAAGAGCGGTTAGAATGGCTGGTGCCATACGTGTGGAAGGCCAGTCGAGGGATCGCGTCGACATTGTTAATGCTAGCAAAGAAGGACGATCAGAGGACTTGGGAGGGGTGGCGTCCACATCGTTGCTAAGAATGTGACATAAAGACTGCTACAGCCAGGCACATCAGACACAAATATAGTTCTGCCAACCAACATATTATTGGTACTATTAGCTGTTGGACTATGCTGTTTGAGCTAAGCGGGGAATCTGATCACCTAGGGTCGTGCCCGGAGTGCCGTGATGTAGCCCAAATCAGTGTTGCCACTTTTCTTTGACAAAAAACATCCAGAACGGAGTAAAAAATAAATCCCAAACCATCTAAAGTTGGGTAAAAAACATCTAGAAAAAACATCCGAATGGAAAGAGTCACAAAGTACATAGCTATGGATATGACTTACACTATAGAATCATGTCATCATCTTCACTGATGTCTGCCTCACAAGATCCACAGGATAAACTTAGCTTATATGATGAAGTTGAAGCTTCAGATCCAAAATGACTCTGGTATGCTTTAGCTGTTCCAGTCTCTTTTAATATACAATTAGGGAGCTGATAAGTGGAATATCATCTACCTACTCTCATCAAGCCGAACTTTATTGTCTAGATAGCATTTAAGAGGTCAAATTTGATCCTGTTTCTTAGGTTAGATTTGATATTATTCATAGCACTGAAAACTCTTTCTACGTCATCATCTGTGTGGGGTAGTATCATGGCAGAGATAGCACATTCAAAGAGCTTACAGAATGGACTGTTTGATGAGGCGTCTTTAAATTGTCTCACTTCACTCCAAAACGCTCCAGTTTCTGTTTTATTTTACCATTCAACTAAGTTTATTTTGGTTAACTGATATTCTGCTTCCAGTCTGTATGTCTGTCGTATCTTTTGTCTGAGAACAGGTAGCGGTGCAATATATTTGAATGGAACTGCAGTTTTATGCTTTTTAGTCTCTGTATGACTCTTTAAGTCTTGTATTTTGGTTTCAATTTCACACTTGCAGTACTTACAACGAGCCTTGGTCATATACCCAGGAACTGCCATCACCCATTCTTTAATTTTGTCATCATGCAACAAATCTTTCAGAAATTTTTGCCCATACTTTACTTTTAGCATGTTGAAAGGTTTTTTCCAAAGAGAAAGCCACATAAGAAGTAGAGCGATTATTTTTGAAAAATCACATGAAAAAGAAACACAAAGTCAGCACAGTGAGGATATGGTTGAAACTAAGTTAGTATGATTTACGCAAGCTTTTAATTAATTAGTACCGGGGCTGCCAGATATTTGAGCGTTGACTCAAGTGAGCGTTCACAGTTTAAGTAATCGCAATTGTCCCAATGTACGTGCCAGACCAAAACAAAAAATACTGTAGTAAATATTTTTCACGGTAATTATCAAACTGACACTGGAAGAAAAAAAAATCTATAAATTATCTAACTTTAAATTAAAAACATCTAGAAAAGATCTACCATATAAACTGACTGACTTTCTACCCCACCAGGACATCTTCTTCTTCTTTTGTCAAAATCTGCTTGTGCCGCTAGGCGTCGCAGTCTATCAGATGATCGGCAACCGAGCCAGGGCGCGCTCAGTCGCTTCATATGCCGTGATGTTATGAAGTCTCAAGTTGTCCGTGACTCCTTCAATCCATCTTCTTCTTGGTCTTCCCCTGCCTCTTGTTGTTTCGATTTTCATGTTGTATGCTCTTGATGCTGGCATCGTTGGTTCCATTCTCATTAGGTGACCAAACCATTTCATTCTTTGCTTCTCAATAAATTTAACGATGGGTATGGTTCCAATAGTTCTTGTAATCACATCGTTTCTCACTCGATCTCTTCTGGTTTTATTGGCAGCCATTCTCAAACATCTCATTTCACAGGTGGTTAGTCTTCTCTCATGTTCTTTTGTTAATGTCCAAGTCTGACATTGATAACCTAATGTCGGTTTAAAGATTGTATTTATAATTTGTCTTTTTATCTCAGCTGGGACAGCAGGGTGTTTTAAAATTGGGGCAAGCTGGTATGCGACATTGTTGGCTTGTTGGATTCTTGCTTCAATCTCTCTGTCTATTTTACCATTGGATGTAAAGATACTTCCCAGGTATTTAAACTCTTGCACTTGTTTTAGGCTGTGATCTAGAATCTTTATGTCGATGGTCTGTTGCTCTCTACTTATGCTCATGACTTCTGTCTTTTCAGAACATCAGGACATCACACAAGCGATAAACACCCGATGACACAAAGTGCCACCATGCGGATGAGGATCGCCGTGGAGAGGTCCCAGAAACCGCGTTCAGACATTTGGCCATATTTATGGCCTGCCTATATTGCGGCCCCTGGCAAAAGCCAGAGTAGGGCTTCAAATGACAAAAAATTTCGTCCTGAAAAGGATGAAACTGGATATAGTATAGTGACCACTTGGTTGCAACTAAATCTGCTTATTTATAGCAGAAATTACACTCAACTTTTGTGGTATACATTATGGAAAGATATCAATTAGTTCTGCTAATTTAATTTATTTGTTTAAACTTACTCCTGTCCTGTTACTTATGTTTACGTTCGACTGAATAAAAAAAAATGCTTCTGACATTTAAATTGAAAAGCAGGAGACAACTGCATAGACTAAAGTATTAATAGTTTAGCAGGTTATTTCCCTTAGTAATAAAATTGTTGAAGATTCTACAGAATTCCAGTCGAAATTATTGATCAACTTTGTCGACTTTCAAAAAGCCTTCGACAGTATCCATCGTCCAACACTCTGGAAATTGCTTAACATCTATGGTTTCCCCATCAAATATATCAACATCATAAAATCTTTTTATAATGAAACACGATGCTGTGTAAGAACTGATTCCGGCAATTCTGACTGGTTCCCGGTGGAAACAGGAGTGAAGCAAGGCTGTGTCCTATCGCCGATGCTTTTTGGTATAGCAATCGACTGGGTTATGCGCAAGTGCATAAATAACGCAAATTTAGGCATTACATGGGTTGACAAAATTCTGGAAGACCTAGACTTCGCTGACGACATAGCACTCCTGAGTTCAGAACACACAGACGCCCAAGAAAAAATCAATCGACTCCAGAATTTCTCAGAACAAATTGGACTCCAAATTAACACCGCAAAAAACAAAAATTCTAGACCTTACCAACAGTTCAGTTGATATCACGCTGAACAACAACAGCCTTGAAAAAGTCAACAGTTTCACTTATCTAGGGAGCAAGATGTCATCTACAGGAGATACCGCACCAGAAATATCATTTAGAATAGCACTGGCATCTAGTGCCTTCAATAAACTGTCTAACATCTGGAAATCAAAGACACTTAGCAAAACACACAAAACTCAAGATCTTCAATTCTTGTGTGATTCCAGTACTAACCTATGGATGCGAGAGTTGGAAATCAACGAAAACTCTAGACACAAAATTAGACAGTTTTGAAAATAAATGCCTTAGAAGAATACTAAATTTCAAATGGTCAGATTTCCGAACCAATACACAAATAAGGCAAGAATCCAGGCAAGAGTATGTGTCTAATTTTATACGAAAACGCCGCTGGAACTATGTCGGCCACGTCCTTAGAATGGATAAATCAAGACTTCCTTACCAAGCCCTCATTTGGACACCACAGGGGAAAAGATCTCGTGGAAGACCAAGGGAAACCCTACGTAGAACTATCATCAGGGAAGGCTCGCTCATGGGCCACTCAAACATCCAAGACCTACAACGGATTGCAACGGACCGCCGTGCATGGAGAGTCACGACCTCTGCCCTATGTGCCGCACTCGACACAAGAGGAAAGACTAACTAACTAACTAACTAATAAATGCCCGGACATGAAAATGAAAAAAGCAGAAACAAAGGCTCGGTGCTACATTACTGGTCTGAAGAGTTCCTAGCAATTTATTCTCTTCTTTTGTAATTGCTTTCCCACTGACTTTCTGAATGACTGACGCCAGCGCTCTAATGGCTACTTACTACTCAAGGACCTTTCTTTACACAGCCCCAAATCATACTGCCAGAGTTCCTATCCCTGGGTTCAAAGTTCACATTTGCACACGCCACCACCAGCCAGCAGAAGTTGCCGAGTCATAGAATTTTCTTGAAGGAAGTCGCTAGCACGGTCTACTCGATCTCTGCAAGTTTCTAGCAAAGTTTCACGATTAAAACAGTCACAATGGTGAAGGCGGTTTGTGTTCTTAGTGCAGGCACAGTTTCTACAGTTACTGGAACCATTACTTTCACGCAGGAGGTAAGCAAACCCAGGAAATGGGTCGGATGTTTTTGTCAAATCAGCGAGACGTATTTTCAACTGACCGTCTCACTCTCTAAATCTAAATTTACGTAACATAACAATAACATTCAACAAACAAACCTATTTGAATTGATGTAAAGTATACAAACATTACACTCGGTGGTGATTTTAGCACAGGAACTGAACTAATTTTCCCTTATACCTGAACGCAGTCCAGCCTTAGTTTAATCACACATTGTCTACTGGGATAACTAGAGGTTGTTTGTTCATCATTGGGAAGTTTGAAGGTAACAGTTCCACAAGAAAAAAGGAGTCAGTCACTGGAGAGGACAGATCGAGAAAACCTGTATAACTAGAAAGAGGTCCTTCTAACCGAATTCCCCCCAGTATCCCCGTATATGTTCTGGGGACCCATTTGGGATGGAGGGGAAGAATAGACTACTTCCCCAACAATAATGTCATTAACCTTAAATCTTTAGAGACTAGCATTTTAGAGTTTAGTGTCAAGAACGGAGCCGTCAGGAGGGATTCGGCTCTCCTTTAAATAACGGTCGCTAGCTGGAAGGCGACGGCCGCTTAGTCGGAGTTCACTCCCTTGGCTGCAGTGCAAATACGGAGCGGACAAGTCACGAATCAAAAAACAAAGTGAGGTTGACATGCCTGCTAGAGTTAGACCTCGCGCTGCGATTGACAGTAGCGACCGCGGTCTTGCGCCACAAGACTCTCGTAGACCATGCGCTGTGACTCACACAAGCGACCGTGTTCTCCGACGCACGACTTAGTGACCGTAGATGTGAGACCTGCGGATCTGTATGTCATAATGAGCGATAAGCTTCCGTCGTTTCTGTGATGTCACCCTAACCCTACCCCAAACCCTAACCCTAACCCTAACCCACACCCTAACCCTACCCCAAACCCTACCCCAAACCCTAACCCTACCCCAAATCCTAACCCAAACCCTAAGCCTAACCCTAGGATAACAGGAAACTATATCATTTGTCTCGTTCCCTCTTTACCACTCCGTATTTGCAGCCAAGGAAGTGAACTCTGACTAAGCGGCCGTCGCCTTCCAGCTAGCGACCGTTATTTAAAGGAGAGCCGGGAATTCTCCTAGTTTACACATAGACCTAGTTTACACATACACAAAATTGTAAAACATAAGGTCTTTAATTAACATATACAAAACTATATACCATATATATTTGTGTAGGAAATCGAACTAACACCATCTTTATGAATCACACTGACATCTCAACAATTATTCAAATTAGCTATCACATTTGCATATTTATGCAAGGATTTGTTTTAATAACTTTGCACAAACTTGACTGAATTGAACAGTTTGGCCAAATGTTCTGATGGATGAAGCCAGACTTAACTAAGTCCTGACATTTGTGTTTTTGTTTTGGAAAGCAAGGCCCATCTAGTTCCTTCAGATACTTCTTGCACATGGTTCTACCCCCTTTACTGCCTCCTGCTATATTTTGGTTTCTGTGAGGCAGGTTGTTTTTGCTATTGTTGGACACAGGTAATTCCCCCTCTTTAAAAAAAGTTATAGAACAAACTTTCACAAAAGCCACCATTAAACAGCTCATATTTGCAAGAAATGCAACAAAAATTCTGATAAGCTGGTATAAAGACCAGCCAGCCGATCTCAAGGCTTGTATTACGGGGTTGACAGATTGGCCACAGCTGTCTTTTTGGCCATTTTGTTGTTGGGATGATAGATCGACCTTGTCTCCAAAAGGTTATAACCAAAAGTCAATTAATTAATTTCAAGTCATTGTGCATCTGCCTGAGAGGGGAGAAACCCGCAGTCTGCATCATTAGAAAAAAAAAGCCAAGTCTGAAGGTCCAGAAGTGGATGAACAGCCAGAACTCTGCTGAAATTTACAACTCGTGAACATAAAGTAGAAGAATTTGATGTTGTTTGTAACCTGTTTTTACTAAAGCTTTTTCTTGGATAAAATGGTTTCAACACCATGACAGATATGCTCTTTATTTCAACAGAAAGTTGGTGATAAAACAGTCGTCTCTGGCGAAGTAAAAGGTCTGACTCCTGGCAAACATGGATTCCACATTCATGAATTTGGAGACTACACAAACGGTACATCTTAATTTAACTAATCTAATCTTAGAACTGAGTCCTGTTGGCATGGTGATTAGTGTGACTTCACAAAGAAATGGTCTGGGTTCGATTCTTTGTGGACACATGATAATTTTTTTTTCAAACCAGCTGATGGTTTGACCTAGAATAGTAAAACTTAGATAATAAGGTGACGAGAAAGGGAGGTGGTCACAACACCTCTTATATTGTGGCGTAGATTATGTGAAGGCCTGACACTTCACACAACATCAGAGTTTTCCATGCAGATCCTCTTGAACAATTGAAAATTTTCAAAGTGTCACAAATCGCATGTAGGCAGTCTTAGATTTGGCCCTTTTAGACAGGCTTCTTTCATAGGGTAGGCTTCTGGTGTGTACATGCTCCCATTGAGTTTTCCTTATCATATACTGTAGTAGTAGTATGTTATCTTTAGAGTATGTTAGGCTCATTTAACAATATATTATTATGTGTATCAGGATGCACAAAAATACACAGCCTATATTAAAATATACGTGCATGCCAAACATGCACATATGCATACAAACAAGTACACTAATACACCTATAGATTGTATACACACGTACATGTTACATTATCACAGTTGACATCTTTGCACATTTGGCTTCCCCTGTATGCTCAGTCCTCAGATGCAGCAGCCACCCCAAGGAGCCTAAATATTTCCTTTGAGAAGCTGGTTATAGTATCTTCTGTCTTGACCTCGAAGACGGCATAGACGTGCTTATATTAGGTACTTTAGTCAAATTTTTTAAATGCCCTCAACACCAATAAAACCAGCACAGTTAGATAGCTGTAAACAATCTCTTTCCAATGGTACCTCATTTAGCCTTGTATGTCATTTCTGAGCTGAGATATGTAGGTTTTTGTAGAGATGGGATGTAAAAAACAGCTGCTAAAACTTGTGTCTGTGAAACAAGAAGTTTTCTCTGCGCAACCAAACTGCGCAACTTTCGTTTTGGCTTTGTTTTCATTGGACAAGATGGCAAACAATTTTTCTCAGACACAGCCACATAGTAGCGATTGCATGAAAAATGTCACTGTAAATCGAAACAGCCACAGATAAGAAAGAAATTTTATACACAAATGGAAAATTGGACGGAGAATTCAATTATAACTAGCATTACCATGTCTGGTAATATTTAAGGCCTTAAAGCCAACCGTAAATACTTAGCGCTATTTTCAATCAAACTGATGCAACAGAAAAACAGAGGACGTCCGGCTGTCGTAGACATGCGCTGTTAATCGGATCCGTTCCCGCCATTTTCAGCTGTTTATAGCTGGTGAAAATCACACCAATCTCAAAATTTCATGAGAGATTAGGACCCATCCCGAAACCCCAGCCGACATTTCTCAAACAAGTTTCGAACGGTTTCCATGGTAACGGAAATTGCCAAAAAGACCGCAAATTGTCGAAACTGTAGTCGCTACTTATATGCGGTTATCTGTCCCTTAAATATTAGTATGTGTCTAAGTAACGGGTTTTGTTGTTGAAGCAGATTGTAGATTTAGTTGTTTACTCTTGTATGAAAAACAGAATCGGAAACAGAAGGTAACTTGGTTCTAGTCTGATAAAGTGACACTTATTCCCAACATGCCCATTAGCTCGCGAGTGCAAGATGTATTTGCTGATTTCCTATCATGTTGTGGGGAATTACATTCTGCCAATCACTACGTTGATGCATGCCCTGTCAGGCCAACAGTGTGTGAGGGAAACAGGAAGTTTCAAAACAGCAGGACCTCATTGGCAGGCTGTTGACGACCTGGTCAGGCACACCCAGTAGTCACCAGTCTCTCACAGAAGTCACACTGTTTTGAAACTTCCTGCTCCACTCATACACTTGCTGGCCTCACAGGGCATGCATCATCATACTTAACCTTCATTTGCCAATAAAGTTCTATAGGTTTAACCCCTTCACTGATTTTTTAAAAAAAAATCTCTTTGGTGCATGTCAATAGTGGGTTGGCCATCTTTAAACTGTCATTGTTATGTCACTGTGTTCATCTGCACATGCTTAACACTCTTCACATCCTTAAGAGTGATATTGACAGGTTACAAGAGATTAGCATGGTTGTGATACTTTTGAATGTTTTCATTTGAAGCTTCCTCGTACGTAAAGTAAAACAGAGCAAACAGCAAAAGTACCAAACAGTGAACAACTATTCTGTCATGTATGTTTGCAGGATGTGTTAGTGCCGGAGCACATTTCAACCCGGCTGGCAGGACTCATGGAGGACCCACTGATGAAGAAAGGTACACATAACAAATTATTATAACGCTGTTACCCAAATGGATAAGACCCATAGGAAGGTGGTTGCTAGTTAGTTCACTCACCTGCCGTATGATTTTGTTTGTTTGTTTGAATTCTCTTGGCATTAATTTTTGTTTGTTTGCTTTTTATTTTTTTTTTAACTCTTGGCTCTGAGGTCAATCCAGTCTCATAAATTGGAAATAGAACAGAATACTCTGATGTTGTGTGATCACAATTGACGTTACCGGACATTGGGCATTCCCATGTCCTCCATTGCAGTCAAGGTGCCTCTGACGATTGTTCTCATGATAAGTTAGTTATGACATCTCTCTCAGCCTTGAAGGCGACATAGACTGTTCACCATAATGTAAAACAAGTGTGCACAATTTATTGTCTTGAAATTTGCTCTGCACTCAGTGTGGTGCAAAAATACAAACTTTTGTGAGTTCAGTTTAAATAATTGTGAAGCTTGTCTTTTTGAGTACACACACTAGAAATCTTGTGGTATCTGAGAAAGTGCAAGGGTTAACAGGCCTGGTGGTCATTGGGTTGGAACAAGAAGATCACCGATCACCAGGCTGCTGTATAACTGGGTCAGAAGCAGTTATTGCAAAGCAGACAAGCAAGAAATAGACAATGCTTTATTTCTTCATCAGCTTCACTTAATGGCCACCTTCACCAACAAAAGAGTACTAAAATATATGAATGCATTCACGTTTGAAGCACACAGCTACTTCTCTTCTTCGTATTCACCAGCTGTAAAATAGTGGAAAGTTCTGGTGGTTCATCCACCTCTGAGTTTAGTCTTGTTCCAGAACCTCTGTTTTACAGATCTAGCTTATTTGTATGCAGACTGTTGGTTATTTACCTTTCAGGCAGATGCACTCTTGGTCTCTCCCCCCACCATTTAGTCGACTGCTACGACAGGAAGGCCGTGGGTCCATTCTCATTCCCCCCCCCCCCCCCCCCCCCTTTCAGTGGGGTCCCAACAGAATTGGCTCCATCCATTATTTCTTGACTTGGTGGTGCTGAATAAAAACACTGTCATAGACAACATTAACAGAGTCACCATTCCATCATGGTAGCCGTGGTAGCATTTTGGCCCACTTGCCCACCAGCTCGAAGGTCTTGGGTTTGAATCCACATCAAAACAATTATTGTTTTCAAAATTTCCTGGGCTCTCTGGTTGACTTAGCCTGAAACGGGTGCCATTTAATGTCCTAGAAGTAAAGGCGGCCGGCGTGATGTTGACCACTTCACCCACAGAGGGCCGATTGATCTGTAAAAATATGAATCGAGCCTCATGGGTCTGACGCTGGCGTAAAAAAATGTCAGTACTTTTTAAAGGCGGGTTGCAGATTAGGACAGCTTATGATTTAGCATAGATCGGGAAATAGAAACAAGATGCCTACGGATCAGTGTACTTATATACCAACTGACACCGTTATTAAGACATCTAAACATAAGTTTGAGCACCATGAAACAGATTGTAAACACTGTTATTCATATGTTAAACAGTGTATTCATACCAACACTGTGCTACCAGTGCCAGACCTGGACATTATCAAATGCTAAGCTACGTAAAATTAAAACTTGTGAAATGAGATGCTTGAGAAAAGCCTCCAACTGAACCATCCGAGACAAAGTTAGAAATGATATTGTCAGACGGGGAACAACACCATGCAGCAAATTCACTGAGAAACAGAAGATCAAATGATTTAGCTATTTAGTAAGCATACAGCTAGAATAACTGCCAACACAGGCGCTACACAGGAAAAGATCTAAAGTGAAAGCAAGAGGAGAATCTGGATTGATGACATTGAAGAGCTTCTCCGTGGATATAGAATGACAGTTGCCATTGCACAGGAAAAGATCTAAATAAAGCAATGAAATCGCAATGACATTGAAGAGCTTCCTCCCTACAGTTGCACATTGCTACACAGGAAAAGATCTGGCAGAAGCTGAATGACATAGAGATATATGATTGATTGACACATTAGCAATGTTTCCTCCCTAGCACTAATGGCAAGTGGAAACTTGGGATGTTTGCACTTTGTTTGACTTTTATTAACAGGCATGCCGGTGATCTGGGAAACATAGTAGCCAATGCTGAAGGTGTTGCAGCAATTAATCTGGCAGATGCTCACATTCCACTCATCGGAGAGAACTCAATCATTGGTCGTAGTGTTGTGGTGAGTAGAGCCTGTTGTTTGTCCAAGGCATTGAGTACCTAAACCTTGTTTTTGTGATTATTTGAAATATAATTTTAAAAAATCTCACGCTAGCCATGTGACTTGAAACCTAAGGTTTAAGTCGTAGGCACATGCACACCTCCACCCACCTGCATGCAGGCGCACACACCCCATGAACAATGGTGCAGAATGTAGGGAGTAAAGACCAGAAACCTGTGAACTGTTGTCTCACATTATATGAACCCTGTCTGTGTTACGTTATCACAATCGACGTCGCTGCACATTGGGCATTCCTAAGCATGCTCAATCCTCCGATGCAGCAACCACTCCAAGGTACTTTTACTGGTTATTCCCAAGAGGAACTGGTCATGTCTCCTGTCTTGGCCCAGAAGGTGGCATAGACATCTTTCTCTTCCATGCCCCTGCCCATTCCTTGATTCAGAGACAGTTTACTAGTCTCTCTTCTGTTCCAGACGTGTTTACTTATTCTTACTGGTTTGGTTTCTTCTCTTCCAGAGAGCTATTTTCTGGTCAGCAGTAAGTTGATTTTTGTCTTCAAAATGTATCTTCGTCACAGATTAAACAAGCTTAAAATGGATCAGGCATCGAGAGCCAGCTAGTCTATAAAAATAAGGCTTGCACTATATGTATGCTTCCTCACTGCTGACTGGGTCGCCCATTGGCTCCAGTTGGGACAGTACTTGGGGCTGTCTCTTGGGATATCAATACTGCAAGAGTTATTCTCAGAGCTACTTGATGGCGAGCAATGCTAAGCCATTTGATGTGCACACATCACCTAGTCGCAATTGAAGCCTAAAGCTCTCACTTTAGGAATGCTGGTTGAGTATGTCCAGTGTAAAAAAGATTGTTTACTTTCTTTCACGGAGTGAACATGTTCAGACTCAATAGTATTTAAGTTACAGGTAAGTCACGAGAAGGAAGATGATCTTGGTAAGGGAGGCAACGAAGAAAGCTCGAAGACAGGAAATGCAGGACCTCGCCAGGCCTGCGGAGTGATTGGAGTCACTAAGTGAACCATTGTCATTTAGTATTTCCTTTGTAGAATATTCTGTTTAGTAACCAGTGAGTGACTGAAATACTTAGTGACTTTACTGTTTGTTTGAATTGTCTCAGCCTATGAAAATTTGTTTTATGTATTTTAGAACGAATCCCGTTTTGCATTCCAGTTATCAGTGACTTGACTAATGTTCTCTAGAATTTTGGAGCATAATTGATTATTAGTTACACACCGATTAGTTGTAGAAATATTTGTTTATGAGTAGACTAATGTTCTACAGAGTTTTGGAGATTTGCTACTTGTGAAAGTTGTCAATGTTGTATACAAGTTTGGAGTTCAGTTAATTAATATTAAACCAGAACTAAAACACTTCATAGAATCATCTTGTATAATAAATAAATAATTAACAGCCAGAGAGGAACTAATACAACAATACAGTGATGTTCAACATTATGAGTAAACTATTGGGAAAAACTCTATACAAAATATTTATCTTTGCAGTCAGGGACAGGCATTAGGCAATCAACTAGTGATCTGTTGAATTTTATAGAGCATAATAGATCTAAGAGGTTGTAAACGTTTGAAGTAATAAGATTAGGTGAAATCAAATGTTTCACCATATTAGTAAAAGAGATCAAACATAAGTTTTGATATATATCATCATTCAGTGTGGTCCAGAAAAACAAGAAATATATGTCGTTTAGAGTGACAGGTAGTCACAATTTCATTTGTACACATTTATACTTTTTCCTTTTGTTGATATATTTTTGAACATTGTTTAGCATTCTTAGGGTCACTTTTTATTTATTTCTGGAGAAAATTCAATGGATGGATTATTTTTTTTTGGAATGATGAAGAATGTTTCTCGTATTAGTCTTTAAAACTTCATTTCAAAAATGCATCGTTTAGTGTTTACAAGTCGTAGGAGAATGTTAAGCACCTTCCCAGCATGGTTATGAATTTTAGTTGTCTGTGAACAGAAGTGTGTGTTAGCAGATGAATTCCACTTGGAATTATTATAATACTCAGAAACTCAAGTTGTCCTTATTACTTTCTGGACAGAAAGCAGCCCATATTGCTTCCAAGTTGGATAACAAAAAACTGGTTATTTTTGTGTGTGTTTGTGTGTTTAATTTTGTATGGTTTTTGAATTTAAACAGCAAAAAGTTATTTATTAGCAATAAAGTGGAACATCTGCCTGTTTGTGTCTAGTAGATGATATGAGATTGTTGGTTAAGTAATTAATCAGTGTGTGAGCTGATTTGGGCAAAGTGAATGACTACACCAAGACTACCTGACAAGGGATGGGAACCTTGTACTTCCAATTACCAAGCAGGTGGGCTATCACACAGACCATGTAAGATGTTGAATTCATGAATGCTTGCTTCTGTAGCTTCACCTGTGTCAACTGTATAACTGGCTGTTGTATCACTTCCCGTACTGTATGTGACCACATTTATCACAACTGTCAAATATTCAGAGTCAGTGTCAGTTTGATTTATTGCAACCTTGCCCTAATTGTGTTAGATTTTAATCAGAATCTTGTGTTTATGTCAGTGATCTGCTCACAAGTCTGTCAATTAAAAAGAACATGACACTTGTTAATTCAGATGTTATCGTTGCAGTGTTTGTTGTTTTAGCTTGCTAGTTGCTCCTACCTTTTTGTATTTTTTATTATTGCAGCAAATAAATAATCAAACATTTCTCAACATTTCCCCCAACACAAACATTATTCACATCTATAAAAATGGGAGTAGTTGTTACCGTGGTGTAGTTGCTACACACTCGCCTGCAGATCCGAAAGTTGTGGATTCAGGTCCTGATGGAACCAGAATTTTTCAGAAATGACCTTGGCTCTCAGGTCAATCCAGTCTTAAATGGCTACCAGGCCAAGTCAGGGGACTGGGAAGTAAAGACGGCCGGCATGATATTGTCCACTTTGCCCACCAAGTGCCGATTGGTATATAAAATATAGGTCTAGCCCTATATGCCCAGTACACCTGAAGGGGTGGAAAAGGTTCCTTAACCATTTTTTTTTTAATTACACAAAAAAATTACTTGTTCCCACCACTGATGATGCTTCTCCAGAACCTGACAGTGTGGATACACATTCTCTTGATTATTCTGTGAGATGCCAAAAGTCAAATGTTGGTACGAATTTCCAAACATCATACAACGTTTAATTTTCTCCAAGAGCTTTAATTATGCTCACAAAAAAACACAAATTTTTATTTTGTATAAAGTTTTCCCACAGCTTATTTTATCACGTAATTTAAATTTTCTTTTTTTTATTGATTTCTTATTGCCCAGCAATGGATTGCAGACTGTTCCTTCATTCGATGCTCAATGGCAGAAGTGGAAATTGGTGATGATGATTTTCTTTCTTTCTTATCCAGTTTTTACAGTTTCTCTCCACGACTTATAAACTGATAGTGAACAGGGTATTTTTTTAATTTGATATTTTGCTCAGCTGAAAACTATTTCTGGGCCCAGAATCAACATCCTACAAGTCGAGTTTGTGTTTGATTTGTTCGGTTGTTTATGTTTAGTAGTATCTCATGCTGCCTCGAGGATTGTTGACTTTTTCAATAAAGGCATATTTTTGTACAAATATTGTCTTGACTTAGAGGGAATTCTTCTTAAATGGGGGTTCATTTCTTATCCTAGGACACTGGTGGGTTGGTTGGGAATCCTCCAAGTTCAGTGGGTTGGGGTTTTAAGGTGGTTTCAAGTCGTGAAATCATGGGAGAAACCTGGACACATTTAATGTTAAATGACAGTGTTCAGAAGCAACAATTACATGATAAAGTCAGTTTTGTTGCCAAATTCTCATCTGTCAGCCTGTCAAACAACAGGGTAGTACCAGACTAAACAACACCTGCTGCCGCCTGCACTGGGACAAGTGTGAAGGTAACTTCTGGCAGTGGAGTCTCACAAGAACTCAAGTTTGCTGTTTATATGCAGAAGCTCGACTCGATGCATCATGCTTATAGAATCACTCAGCCCACACACATGAAAATAGTCCCGTAATTCCAGCCACGTGAAAGACCAATCAGTATGGGTGGTGATGTCTGTATCATGCTTGCTGCCTTTACTTCCCATATTTATTAGCTGATTTCACTCAAGAAGCAAAGGTCAATTTGTAACATCTAAGTAAGGGTTCAGACCTTTGGTCACTGAGCCAGCATGCTAGCCTCTGCACTAACCGTAGCTGCAGATGTGTCAGCTGTTCATAAACTCAAACAGGCACTGATTAACAGATAAAAGACAAAAAATCTGGAATCAGAAACCACAGAATCAAATGATAGTCAGTTAAAGGACCTTTCTCCCACACCTTCAGGCAAAGTGGGCATATATTTTATAGACCAGACCAATCAGCACTTGGCAGGTGATGTAGTCATGCCGGTCACCTTTCCAGGAATTTACCAACTACCCATTTAAGGATGGGAGCCAATGTCTTTTTTTTTTAAAGTCTGGCTCCTTTAGGATCTGAACCTAGCTGATACAGAACGGTGCTGTCTAATGAAATGATAAATGTCCACTGATCCATCCATCAAACTCCCTGGCTAAAGGCAATCAGTGACAGTGTTCAACTTCTTCTTCTGCCTTTCTATCCCCCAATGGAGCATAGGCCCTCAACCAACTCACGCCAAGTCGTTGTATCCTTCGCCATTGCATGGAGCTCTCCCCATGTCCTCCCAATCTTTCTAACCTTATTCTCCAGCTCTCTTCTCCATGTGTTTTTTGGCCATCCTTTATTCCTATGCCCCTGTGGGTTCCAATGCAAAGACATTCTAGTTATGCTGTTCTCCTGTTTTCTCAGTGTGTGCCCTATCCAACGCCAGCGTCTTTTCCTCACCTCCTGATCCACTGGAGCCTGTTTAGTTCTCTCCCAAAGTTCTACATTAGTTATTCTATCATACCATTTTTTTCCCTCTATTCTGCGCAGGCACCAGTTAATGAATGTCTGTAATTTATTAGTAAGTGCCTTGGTTGTTCATGTTTCCGCCCCATACAATAGTACTGATTTGACATTAGAATAAAAAATTTTTTAGTTTAGTATTTCTTTTAATTTCTTTTGACCTCCACAAATTCCCTAGTGCTATAAAAGCCCCTCTTGCCTTTTGTATTCTTATTTTAATATCTCTATCAGTTCCTCCATCTTTATCTACATTACTGCCTAAATAGGTATACAACTCCACGTCTTGGAGTGGGGTGCCATTAAGAGAAACCACATTACTATTTGCCTGATTTATTCTCATTATCTTTGTTTTTCCTTTATGGATTTTCAGACCAAGCTGCTGTGATCTCGCATTAAGTATATTTAATTTAATTTATCTTGTATCTGATTCCGTGAATGGGACAGTGGAGCGATATCATCAGCGAAGTCCAGATCATCAAGCTGTTTTGTAGGGGTCCACTGAATTTCATTCTTGGTGTTAGCAGTTACTAGTGTTCAACTAGTTAAAAGATTACACAAACACACACTGATCTTACATGCAGAGATCATTACATATCGAGATTACATATCTGCAGACTTTACACAGTAAGCAGCTGCTGGCTCAGTGATTTGGTACTTAGCTCTCATGAGGAACACCAGAGTTCCATCCTCTGTAAGGGATGGATATTTTTGTTTCTTTCAGGGGCAGATATACAAACCCTAACCTGCAGAGTTAGTGCTGACTGCACTGGCAATGTAACCTTCCATTCTAAGGATCATGAGCTACCCCTGTCCTACATTGCAATCAAAGTGGCAAGCACAGACACCTCACATACAAAGATTACTATATATCAAGATTACCTATGCACTGACCTCACATACATAAACCACAAACACAAACAAATCACACATTTACACAAATAATCACTATAAGATTCATACAAACAAATGATCCCCCAAAAGATCACACATTCATTCAAACTGTCGTTAAAAGATCACAAATAACGTATGAAAAAAGAACAAGAATAATCCAACACTGAATCTGAGAATATCATAATGTTCTATTTATACGTCAC